CAGTCTCTGCAGCAGGTGTAATTTCAGAAACAGCACTCTGAGCAGGATCAACCGCATCAGGGCAAGAACAGATAAAATTTTTCACAGCCAAAACATTTCATTACAGTCTCTGAAGTAGCATAGATTGTGTAATTAAAGCCCTGTACTTTAACACTGAAAGACAGATTTAACCCGTCTGTGTTGTCTTTTTAACACCATATAGACTTGTCTTTTAAAAGACGCTACTTAATTTAGTTATAATCAACTTTTGTAACAGCCTTTTGTTTTTGGATGCTTTCAGACACGGCCATGGAATCAGTAAGCCCTGTTTTACTTGGTTTAAAGCAGACATGTGGTAAAAATCTAGAATAGACTTATGTCTGGTGTCTGATCGACTAGCTTCTTTTATTAATCGCTGTACTGTTTCTCAAGCTCCGCTAACTGATCATGCGTGTATTGATCTTGAAATATCGAAGGCTTCCTATCGCATTTTTAGACCGCCAGACTATTGGAAACTAAAGACTTCCTTTTCACAATACTCTTCACACTGTTCAGGTGTTAAGCAAATAATTGACCAAATTAAATCTGATTCAGACTCTGCAATGAGAAAATGGGAAATCTTTACATTTGAATGTCGAATTTCTCTATACAGTTTGGCAAAGAACTCTCCAACACAAGGGAATTGAAGAGCTCTGCAATCAATCAGGACATAAATAATAGTGTATGTCTCTCCTCTCCTAGCGAACAGGACAAAGAGAAGTTATATACACTGAAGAAAGACCTTGATACTCATACTGTGGAGACGGCCAAAGCTGCGTTCATAAGGTCAAGCGGCCAGAATTTGGAGAAAATAATTCAACCTATTTTCCTTAATTCAGAAAAGAGAAGAGATGAGCAGAAAAGCAAATCAACGCTTGATATTAATGGTCACCTCATCTCAGATGAAGGAACAGTATTAAAGTTTGTATGTGAGTTTTCCCAGTCTTACTTCTTCCTTTCAGCCAGAATGATCTGATCAATTCTTCTGTAATGTTCAGTCATTTATTCCAACCATTAGTGACGTTTGAGAGAGTGTAATGACTGTAGAGGAATTGGACACTGTAATTACAGCAATCCCGTTTAATAAAAGCCCAGGACCAGATGGTTTGTCATTTGAACTGTATAGGCTGTTTTGTGATGTTGAATATGTTTAAAGACTGCTCAGATAGAGGATTAGCTGAATCAATGAAGCAAGGCATAATCACACTGATCCCTAAACCAAATAAGGAGAAACCTTTTCTTGATGACTGGCATCTCGTAACTCTGCTTAATTCTGATTATTAAATTCTCACGGCAGTATATGCTAGAAGATTAAACACATTTCACTCTCACAATCAGGTTTCATGAAAGATCCACATGTTTCAATAATATCCGTCTTGTTTTAGACCTTTCAGATTGCTCAGAGTTGGTGAACGATGATGCTCTCATTTTGTGTTTAGACTTTTACAAGGCCTCTGACGCTGTCGAGCATCCCTTCATGTAGGACGCTTTGAAGCATTTTGGCTTTGGTCAAGAGTGTGTGAGAACTGTTCAGACTCTGTATAAAGACTTCACTAGTAATGTGTCTTTGCCTCATGGAGCTTCTCCACGTTTTGTCATTGGAAGAGGAATCAGACAAGGTTGTCCTGTTTCCCCTTTTCTGTTTCTGGTGGTTGCAGAGCTTCTTCATCTTTATGTGGTTGATTGCTCAAATGTTGAAGGTGTTCAAATAGTGCAGATGATGCATGTGTCTCTATACATAATGAAAACACGTCCCTGAAATATCACAGGCATTACAATGATTGTCGAATGCTTCTGGCTTTTCTGTTAATCAGAAAAAATCTTTTGACAATTCTTCATTCTGATATCTCAGATGTTTGTGGAATTAAGGTCAAGCACACCATCACATATTGAGGTATTACAATTAATAAATGTTCTTCTGAAAGGATCAGAACTTTTCTAAATGCTTAAAGAAAGTCAAAACTGGGTTTAATTGCTGGTCTCAGAGGAACCCGACTATTCATGGACGTCTTCTACTTTCCAAAGCTGAAGGAATATCAAGGCTGGTCTATCCCGCTCTCTCCTTACAGTATATGTTAATCCCGAAATGTGTTCAGAGATTGATAGAGCTGTATTTCAGTTCATCCGGAAAAAACAGGACAGAATATGTCAAAAGAAAATCAATAAGCTTTTCTAAAGGTTGAATCACTGTTCTTGATTTGAAAATGTTTACAGTTTTTTTACAATGGCTATGACACTTTTTTCAATACATTTAACAAGTTTGCTAAACTCTTAACGCAGGAACACACCTAAAATACACACTTGGCAAAACAGTTAATTTCATGCTCAAAATCACACATTATAAACTAAACCTCTAAACTATTTTTCAAAATACAATAATAAACGAACACACTACACCATGTCTAACAAAACACTGCAAACATGTTTCAAAATGAAATTATTGTTCAAAACACAAACACATGTTCTCTTCCAACATAAACATTCAGTCAATCAGAGCACATTGACAATAAAAACACTATCATCAGCTAAAATTACAGAAACTGCATTAGTTTATGTGTCAGCTCTGCACTTATATTTGAAATTTCGTTGTTTTGTTTCGTTGGGTTAAGTAAATGCATGCATTTTCTTTCTTTTACTGCAAAAATTCTATATAAACGAAGAAAAGAAAATTGCTTCATAAAATTTACAGTTTATGTAAAAAGCAAATACACACACAGAATTTCTGCAGTACCGAATTTTTTTGCAGAAGGACATCACTGCAAACAGAAAAAGCACCACAATTATAACAAAATAACAAAGTAATCTTCTATTCTGCCCGGTCTTTTGCCACATGTTCTCATCCACATTATACTTGATATCTTCTGTGGCCCGGCACGGTAACTGTGGCCCTTTGGCCTATTATGTTTTTCCTACGGCCACATCCCCAGCCTTGTCAACATTGAAAATTTCATGTGGTACTTGATTGGCCTCTAACTTCATGACTCTCTGAAAGTAATTAGACACAGTGTATGCAAATGCTGTACTGTATATGTACTGTATGTACTAATGAACTCCAGGTTTAAAGAGTTGTTTACTGCAAAACACACTGTATATTGTACTGTAATGACTGTATTGCATAATCTTACATGGACGTATTGGTGACAGAGTTCTTTGATGGGCTCACTGTTCCTTTCAAAAAACCTCAAGAGTCCTCTATTTGTATATTTGTATCTATTTGTACATGTATATATATATATATATATATATATATATATATATATATATATATATATATATATATATATATATATATATATATGAGAGACAGCATAATGCGGTTATATAAATAAATAAAGATATATATATATATATATATATATATATATATATATATATATGAGAAACATAATTTTGCGGTTATATATATATATCTATATAAATATATCTATATCTATATAAATCTATATATATATATATATATATATATATATATATATATATATATATATATATATATATATATATATATATATTTATTTTTATAACCGCAATATGATGTTTCTCATTGGCAATTGAATAAAATATAGGGAATATATTTGTGTTTCAATTCACAATTAGAACAGCTGTTCTCTATGACTTTATCCTATAAGATTTCTGTTTAGAACATGGTGTTATCTGTTCTGGCATACTGTGTTAAAGCATTTGTAAATTTGACTGTAAAATTACATTGTTTTGTTCTTGGTTGTGCTTGTGTGTAAAAGAAGTTAAAGCATGTTAAATTTGTGTTAACTGGATGCATTTTGTGTTAAAACAACAAGAAATGTGTTAATTGTATAGCCCACAAAGACGGATGTTGTGCTAACTGTGTTAAGAGTTTAGGAAACTTGTTAAATGTATTGATAAAAGTGTCATAGCAATTGTAAAAAACTGTAAAATGAATTGGATGAAGCACTGCCTTTCCCAAAGTCATTCACTGGTTTTATATTACAGATCTCTTCTTTGACAAATGTGCTGGATTAAACTTTTTGCTTTCTTGTGACTCCAAATGTACTAAACATCCCATTAAATGATCAACCTTTCATGAGCAATCATTAAAAGTGTGGATGTTACATGTCCATGTATTTATTACTTATTTATTTATGTTACTTTGTCGCCCTCTAGTGTTTTGTTGTTGTTTGTGTTTTTGATGTTAAGTTGATTCCTCCGCACCTGCAGATCATTGACCGTTGGTGATTTAAGAGCTCGCGCTGCAGTGTTTCAGTGATGGGGATTTGGGTCGTCCAGACGTGGAGTGGTGCTCCTTTTGTTTTCAGCCTTCATTTATTCTGTTTTCTCCCCATACTTTGTTTATATTTGGTTATTCAGTTAATAAAACCCCTAGACCGATCCGTTTGTGTTTTCCCTTATTTGATGTTGTGACTGTGGTCGTAACAGTTATTGGGGGCTCGTCCGGGATCTGAACTCGTGACCTCTCGCAATTGCCTTTAAACAGAACTTTTCTCCACACACCAGCATTCTGTGGAATAACCAGCATGTGCTGCACAAAAACAAAAGTCTATGTAAAACAGATTGGCTTGACAAGGGGATTATTTGAGTTTCAGATTTACTGAGTAGCAGTGGTGAGATTTACACTCATCAGGAAATGCTTTCCTCTTCAGGAACTGTGTTTGGCATGATGGTTATAACGTGATTGTGGAAAGCATCTCTAATAAACTGCTTTACTTAATGAAACTCATCTGACTTATAACTCAGTCTCAAAGCAAACTCAAACACTGTGCTTGGTGGTCTCAGTATCTCAGATCAAAAGTGTAAAAACTTTCACATCAGGAAATGTCTCGTTCACAATAGTCACTGTTTCCCCAAAGACATTCTGAAATGAAAACAATATTTCTCTTGACCTTCTATAGATGATATTTGGTCAACAAGTAATACCATTTACTCCCAAATAAGGTCAAAGAAGTTCATTTCAGACGATTAGACAGTTGTTACCCCTGCTGTATATTTATTAATACATTTAATCAGACATTTCAGCACAATGCTCTTGCTGTAACACTGAGCCTGAAAGTCTTATACAGCTCTTCTGTACTTGTACATTCTCTGAGGATTTCTGGAAACAGGTTTCAGGGTTGATTTCTGATTTATTTTACAGCATAATTAATTTTGAGGAGTGCATGATTCTTCTTCTGAGTTGTAAAACTGGCTATGATGCGCTCGATAATGCTCTGAAGTTGACCATTTAGCTTGGGAAGTTTCACAGACACAAGGCAAAGTCTCTTACTCCCTCATTTAATTTGTTCTGTAGAGATTTACAAATATTTTATAATTTTTGACCTCAATTACAAGACACAAGAAAGCTTTAAAAAACTCTCTAATAATGAAGAAAATTTTCTGTACAGTCTAATCATTTAAATATATCATATATGTTCTTTTCTCTTGTTTAATGTGTGTTCTGCATCTCTCAGTTTTGTATGACTGTTACATGTGTTATGTTATCATATAATCCTGTGTGCTTGTCAGTTATATGCTTCATAATATCTCTGATGTTGGAATAGGACTGATGTTTCTCTCTCCAGTACAGCAGGTGGCGGTGTGCAGCTCTGCTCTCTGACTCAGCACACAGGCAGAAGAAGAAGCGGTGTGTGTCGTGTTTACAGTCTGTCTCGCGTCCTGCGTTTACACTGCTTCATGTAAAGTCCCGCATGTATCCTCCTGCATGTCGTGTGATTGAATGTGAACCCCCGCATGTCCTTTGGGCCCCCGCATGTCTCTGTCTGCTGTGTTCAGAGTGTTTGTGCGGGTGTATTACTGAACTCCTGATGTGACGCAGTTGAGATGAAATCTGTGATCAGGAGTCGCTGTTCAGTGAATCAAAGTTCTCCAATATATTTCCTATGATCTTCAATATGATCATGTCTGCTGAATCCCGCATTTAAAACACGCTTTACAGCACCGCTCGACGCGGATCGCTTGATGCAGTGTCTGCGCGGTCATGGTCGCGTGCATGAGCGGCCAAGGGCGTTCCCGAGTAATTATTCCCTATATGGGGCGTCTGCAGACTTGGATCAGCTTTCGCCCCTGTTGTTCCTAATGCGTCCAGTCGAGGGGATGAAAGAAAGATACATGGCCAAATAAAACATTTGAAGTCAACGCTCCCAGATTATTAAATGTCCTGTTCATAAATATATAAATTTTTTTATTTAATTAGGCTAAATATGAACGCCAAGTTAATGTTTCAGAAAGAGAGTTATAAACTCACTAAATCAGTGGTTCTCAATCTTTTTTTCATCAAGTACCACCTCATAAAAAATAGTCTCTCCAAGTACCACCAAAATGAGCAGTATTGAATTACAATAGCCCAGTAAAGCAACTCTGCAAAGTTAAAAAAAAAACGTGGCAGATTACCACAGAAATATAGGCTATATGACATATTATATACATCATTTTTGATAAATTTTGAAATGTGTATAGCATGTACATGACATATTTCACAGTTTGAGAACCACTGTACTAGATAATATGCAGAATTTATACACTCACCAAATAATTTCACATATGCAAAAGCCCAATTGCAAATTAATTTAGATTAATTTAATTAGAAAAATTACAAACACTAATAGTTGAATAGTGTAACGGTTAATTGTAGCCTAGTTATACGTCTTCATATAGAGATATGGATTTTGTTGTATTGTTTATATATAAAGTTGCATTTTGAAAATGACAAAATTATAACCAAACAATACAGTGTGATATGGAGTAATGATGTGCTTTGATAAGAATGCAGTGGTATTGACTACCAGACAACGTTTAGACAAACAATTCCCTACTTTCTACAATTCCAAGGACCATTTACCTACCTGACAAACAAAACCTCAGACAACATTATTTAAAAAAAAAAAATAAAATTATTGACAACTATATCACAAGAGATTGCCAGTTTTCTTTAAATGAAGCTGAATCCTTGCGTCAAATTCTTGCTCACTGAAAAATAAACAAATAAAGTCATGTATAAATACTCTGCAAAAATCCTTTCCTCACTTAAGAGTTTCTGACTTGTTTCCAGACCGAGTATCTAAACATTCTTAATCCTCAGAAACAGTAAAGAATAGAAAATGAAAAGCAAAAAACATTTCATGCCATTTTATATATTATCTGGACCTATGCAGAACATATATATATATATATATATATATATATATATATATATATATATATATATATATATATATATATATTTTTTTTTTTTTTTTTAATATTTGATTTATGATTTAAGAATTATAACTTAGGTATAACAAAAGGACCAAGTCATTATTATTTATTTTTTGTTACTTACAGCTACAAATTGTGATTCTGACTTTCCCGTATTTAACATATTTAATTATTTTCTTTGTAACAAATTGTTACAATCAATATTATGAAAGTATAAATGATGAACAATATGAATGCATGTGCAATGCAAACTTCATTGCTAATATATAAAATGTACTGTATGTACAAAAATTAGTAGACCATTAGTAATTGTGATTTTCCCTAATCATTTATATATATGATTTAATTGTTAAGTTCATTTTAATTATATATATTGTAATTGTTTAAACTAGAAAATGATTGCATTATTCATTAATTTATTCATTCATTCATTCATTTTCTTTTCGGCTTAGTCCCTTTATTAATCTAGGGGCGCCACAGTGGAATGAACCGCCAACTTATCCAGCATGTTTTTACGCAGTGGATGCCCTTCCTGCCACAACCCATCTCAGGGAAAGAATTGCATTATATTAAATGTAATTGAATACAATGCAATTAAAAATATATATATATATATATATATATATATATATATATATATATATATATATATATATATATATATATATTTATATCTGTTTAGATCAATTTCAATATTTAAGAAAATCAAATTTGGAGGTATAACGTAGTGTAGTTGTAGTGTAGATTTTTTCTGACAACCCAGACCACGCAAGTGTATTGTTTAATCTATGAGAAAATATATATCTTTAAATTAATTATTAGATATATAATACTTACTCCCTTGCTGAGACAAAAAAAATAAATAAAAATAAAATTAACCTACATAACACACTTTCTCACGTAGGTTAATGTTCATTTACTTTTTTTGTTGAGGTAGAACATGTAGTTAACTAACATTTGTCAAACTAACACACTGCTGTTATATTACACCAATTTGTTTGTGTTGACATACACTCATATCGACCTTAATCTAATAAAAAAAAAATGTTTAAGTTTCATGTTTGCTAATGTTTTAAACACGTATTTAACACACCTCTTCATCGTGTTTGCGCTTGGTTGGTGTGATAAAGTTCTGGAGACTTATAATAATACTGTACTGCCTCCCTCTACTGGACGCATCAAGAGCAACAGGGGTGTAAAACTGCCCAGGCCATAAAACTGCTTGCGCCGTAGATCTGTCTGGATCCAAGTCTGCAGTCTTCCCCACCTCGAATATTTCGTGCAACAGCGCCCCCTGGTCAGTGATCACAATTTTCGGTACAACACCGCCCTTCAGAAACGAAAGTGAAAGTGTTTAGTTGTTGTGTTGCAGTTTTAAACAACCAGAATTCATCATTTACCAACACAGAACAGCTTTAAATCTTTAATGTCTGGACTAAACCTGTAAGCTTTATGTGAATGTGTGTATGCTGTTATTATAATCAAACGGATGACGCTGTGATTCTTCATTAGTTTACTCGTGATGAGCTTCTGGATTTGAGTGTCTCAGCTGCTGATCTATTCCTGCATTCAGCTGAATTATGAAGGCTGATCAATGACTGGAGATCTGTGATTGTTCATCAGTTTCTGCTGGAGATCAAACTCTTCAGATCCATCATGGAGGACACACACACACATGATGATCTGGATTTGTCTACAGGATGCAGGTATTAGTCCTACACTTGACATTTCATATGATTATTTTCTACAGGATATTATATTTACTCTCTGTTAGTTGTGTTTTTAATCTGTCTGAATATTTAACACACACAGTCAGCAAGATTGTGTACAATCATCATGAAAAGTATCATGAAGTGCTGTTTAAACAGTGTTTTAATGATGAAATGTTGAGTAAATCTGCTGTGTTGACTCCAGTGTGTGCAGCGCTGAACTTTAATCTTCTCTGTTTTAGTTCAGTTCATCAGAAGAGAGCAGAAGCAGAGCCCAGCTGTGTGTCTATGAAGAGTGACGCGTCTATGGATCACCCATTGTTTTTCAAGAGTGGAAACACAGGAGCTGCTGTCAGGTAGATCATCTCTTTAATATCTGCAACTGATGAGTATTTTCATAATAAATGAATCAGGTCATTAGTGTTGTGGATCTGTTGGGTTTCAGATGTTAGATGTTGTATCTGAGCTCTGCAGGATAGTGCTTGAAGATCTCCGCTTTACACTTCAGGCCACAATTGATGGTGTTAACAAACCAATCAGCGCTTTATTAATAGTGAGTGAGGTAGAAGGTGGGTTTAGGTTTTGGGTAGGGTTAGGGATCCACAATAAGATCATACTGTATGACTACTAATGAGCAGTTCATATGTTCACATTCCACAGATAATAAGCCGGTAGTTAATAGTATGAATTGTGAGCTAAACTAAAGTGTTCCCGATCTCCTGCCATAAAGGGCTTTTCCTGCACACTTTCCCCTGCTGTTTCTGTGCTGTACTGATCAGCCATTCCTCTGATCTGAGTCTGTTTTCACTGAAGCGCAGTCATCATCATGTTGTGTTGGCCTCATAGATGCTGCTGATCAACACATTTGGTTTCTAGAATTGATATTTCTCGAGTTCTCCTGCTCATTCAGTCATGATAGATGATGGTAAATGAACTTGTCTTGCTGTCCTCAAAGTCTGGACTGGAGCTCTGCAGACAAACCCCCGATGAGTGACCTTCTGCAGACTGAGTGATGAGGAGGAGGATAAGGGGAGCTGCTGGAGGCGGGAATAACAGTCAGCTGACACAGTGCAGTTTATACTGCTGCTTATATAGTCATGTGATGATGATTGACACGCCTGCATGATTAAGCTCCTCCCACACCTACACTGTGGACTTCATTCAGTGATTTGATGATTAGTTTCAGCTCTAATCTGCTCTAATAGTGCTGCATTTCTGTTGGGCTTTCTCTACTAGAAATGAGCCTTGATCTGTGTTTGCTGATATTTTCCACATTCAGACAGTTTCTGTTCAAATATAAAGGAAATTAATTTAAGTGTTTTTATAAATGAAGAATGATTAATATCAGGTTTGTGCAGTGTGTGCAGCGCTCAACTTTAATCTTCTCTGTTTTAGCTCACGTAAGAGGAAGAGAGCAGAAGCAGAGCCCAGCTGTGTGTCTATGAAGAGTGACGCGTCTATGCATACACCAATAAAATTTAGGAGTGAAAACACACAACCTGCTGTCAGGTAGATCATCTCTACACACACATGATCACACTGCAGCATTTATATGATCCTGTGTTTCTAGAAGATCAGACATTAACAAGTGTTACAAATACAGGAGACTTTAAAACTGAATCTCCACACACTCACATCTGATCATTAGTGAATAACTAATAAAGTATTAATACTCAAACTGTTAGAGTTAGTAGAGTGAGTTTACAGGCTTTTACAATAGTCAGCAAAGTGTGGATAATCAAGAGAAAGATTTTAGACGAGATGAATGAACAAGTTCTGTGAGACAAACACACCACACAGTCTTTATTGTAACGGAGGCCAGCGAGTAAGTGCTGTGCAGGTAAACCTCACTCCTCTGACCTCTAAAGGTGCTCTAGTGACAGACGCTAGAGGTCATGGTCTTTAGCCTCCTTAGTAGAGCAACCGGCTCCCATGCGGAAAGTCGCCGGTTAAATCCCAGCTTGGAGCCGGTTGGTTCAGAGAAAACACACATGGCTTCACTAGAGGATCTTTACACTCACACTCATTGACTCTTTGTGTTGTTGTTGTTCCTGCAGTGTGGATGGAGATGATCAGACTGGAGACCTGCAGCAGGATTCACTCCAACCAGAACATGATGAACTTCAGAGAGTCAAAGAGCAGCACAAAACCAGCATGAAGAACAAGTATGAGAGATTATTTGAGGGAATCAACCATGGAGAGACTCAAACCCTCCTGAACAGCATCTACACACAGCTCTACATCATAGAAGGAGAGAGTGAAGGAGTGAATGAAGAACATGAGGTTTTACAGATGGAGAAAAGAGGCAGAACAAAACCCTCACAACACACTCCAGTCTACTGCAATGACATCTTTAAAGCCTCAGCTGGAGCAGGACATGAGGAGAAGATCAAGAAGGAGAAAGCCCAGATCAAGACTGTTCTCACTAAAGGCATCGCTGGAATCGGGAAAACCGTCTCTGTGCAGAAGTTCATTCTGGATTGGGCCGAGGGAAAAGACCATCAGGATGTAGATTTCATGTTTGTGCTTCCATTTCGAGAGCTGAACTTGATCAGAGATCATCAGTACAGTCTTCACAGACTTCTGCTGGACTTTCATCCTGAACTTGAAGATCTGGAGCCCAAGATTTATGAGCAGTGTAGAGTTGTGTTCATCTTTGATGGTCTGGATGAAAGCAGAATCACACTCAACTTTTCAGATGAGGAGAAAGTTTGTGCTGTGACTGAATCTTCATCAGTGGCTGTGTTGATGCGGAGCCTCCTGAAAGGAGATCTGCTTCCCTCTGCTCTCATCTGGATCACCTCCAGACCAGCAGCGGCCCATCAGATCCCCTCCAGATACATCAAGCGTCTGACAGAGATTCAGGGATTCACTGAGCCTCAGAAGGAGGAATATTTCAGGAAGAGAATCAGCGACGAGCATCAAGCCAGCAGAATCATCTCCCACATCAGAAGAGCAAGAAGCCTCCAGATCATGTGCCACATACCCGTCTTCTGCTGGATCTCCTCCACTGTGCTTCAGAAGCTCCTGGAAGAAGATGTGAGTGCAGAAATCCCTCAAACTCTGACTGAGATGTACATCCACTTCCTGCTGATTCAGATCAACATGAGGAAGCAGAAGTATGAAGAGAGAGATCCAGAGAAACTCCTGCAGTCCAACAGAGGAGTGATCCTCAAACTTGCTGAAGTGGCTTTCAGACAGCTGATGAAGGGCAATGTGATGTTCTATGAGGAGGACCTGATTGAGAGCGGCATAGACGTCACTGACGCCTCGGTGTATTCTGGGATCTGCACTGAGATCTTCAAGGAGGAATCTGTGATTCATCAGAGGAAAGTCTACAGCTTCATCCATCTCAGCTTTCAGGAGTTTCTGGCTGCTTTCTTTGTGCTTTACTGCCATTTAACAGAGAACAGAGAACCGCTGAAGTTAATTTTAGAATATTCAGATGATCAATATCTACAGTCCAGCTCTGAGAAGTCTCTGTATGATCTGCTCAGTTCAGCAGTAGATAAAGCTGTCAGGAGTAGTAATGGTCATCTGGATCTGTTCCTGCGGTTTCTGCTGGGCGTCTCACTGGAGTCCAATCAGAGACTCTTCCAGGATCTGCTGCCACACACAGAGGAGAGCTCAGAGAGCATCAGAGAAATCACACAGTACATTAAATACCAGATCAAGACAGATAAACGTCTCTCAGCTGAAAGATCCATCAATCTGTTCCTCTGTCTGCTGGAGGTGAAAGATCAGACTCTGGCCAGAGAGATTCAGGACTTTGTGAAATCAGACAAACACTCAGAGAAGAAACTCTCTCCTGCTCACTGCTCAACAATCTCCTACATGATTGAGATGTCAGAGGAGCCGCTGGATGAGTTAGACTTTAATAAATTCAACACATCAGCTGAGGGAAGACGGAGACTGACAGCAGCTGTGAGAAACTGCAGAAGAGCTCTGTGAGTATTCATTGATTGATCACAGAAGACACACATCAGTCTGCACTGAAGACTCAGATCAGTTTAGTGAATCACTGCCCTGCTTTAACAGAAAATCTTTAGCTGGCCATATCGTCCCCCTGTGAGATCGCTGATACACCATATTACTGCATGGGGACGCGGCGGCAGTGTTCTGTTTCCTTATTTGCTCATTTATTTCAGCATTTCTAAATGTATTTAACAAACTTTTCTTGACTTTTTACTCACACAAACAACATTTGTACTTATTTAATAATCTACTTCATTTGCTTTACAGTTTATCCTGGAAAATAACTCAAATCCCTGTAAATCCCTGTGCTCCTGCAGCTGAATAGGACATTTGTTGATGTGTATTTGCTCAAATCTAACACAGTGTTGCTCTTGGATAATTGTGTTTGTTTTCTGATCAGAGAAATAGTGTAATTTTAGACACAGTATTGCCGTCTCGCCGCAGACATGCCTCTAATATTACATTTACTGTAGGCCTAAACACTAAACTTTACACTGAGCTCAGTAAAATGCTCTCTGATTAGTTATTAATAATCTGTTCAATAATTCAGTACAGTCATATGAATGGGGAAATACAGGTTTAGTTTAATGTAGATTCAATCAATAAATAAAAAAATAAAAAGAAGATATGTTTTATTTTAAATAAACAGGCTTGTTCTGAGGCATGAGGGTGGTATGAGGGCCCGATGTCCACAGGTGGGGGTTGCAGCCCAACACCATGGTACAACACCATGAGGTAGCCTGACTGCCATTAGGTACTGAGATGAGATCCTCAGACCCTTGTGAGACCATATGCTGGTGTGGTTGACCCTGGATTCCTCCTAATACAAGACAATGCTGGACCTCATGTGTCTGGAGTGTGTCAGCAATTCCTGCAGTTCACTACAGCTTTGAGTGTGACTCCTAATCCAGTCCTCCATGGGTTAATACATTTGATTTCCAGTGATCATGTCTGTGTGATTTTGTTGTCTGCACATTCAACTGTGTAAAGAACAAAGTATTTAATTAGAATATTTCAGTCATTCAGATCTAGGATGTGTTATTTTAGTGTTCCCTTTATTGTTTGAGCAGTATATATATATATAGTTTATTTCCAGTGTTGCTTTTATCACTGTAGACTGAACTCATGAACACTCAACACTGCTCATTTCCTACTGCTGATTGTGTTGCTGTTTGTCCTCTACACAGACTACAGCGCTGTAAACTCACTGTTCAGTGCTGTGAGAGTTTGTCTTCAGCTCTACAATCCTCAAACTGTGTGCTGAGAGAGCTGGACCTGAGTAACAATGACCTGCAGGACTCAGGAGTGAAGCTTCTCTCTGATGGACTGAAGAGTCAACACTGTAAACTGGACACACTGAGGTCTGAGTTCAAACACCTGATTGATTGATTGATTGATTGATTGATTGATTGATTGATTGATTGATTGATTGATTTTTTTGTTGTGTTACATCAGACTGATCACATTAACGCTGTGTTTTTAGTAATGTGTGTTCTTCTTTCTCAGACTAATGACATGTAAACTCACTGCCGATTCGTGTGAGAGTTTGTCTTCAGCTCTACAATCCTCAAACTGTGTGCTGAGAGAGCTGGACCTGAGTAACAATGACCTGCAGGATTCAGGAGTGAAGCTTCTCTCTGATGGACTGAAGAGTCAACACTGTAAACTGGACACACTGAGGTAAATGATTCTCCACTCTACAACATTAAAAGTGTTTTGATTGAGATGGAAATGTCCAGTATAGCGAGGCAGAGGGAAAACACAAACACAGTTGAGTTAAGTTACAAACAATGCCCCGGAGGGTGCTTTATTTACAAGTGATATAGTGAGTGAATGAGTGCTCTTCTTGGGGTGCGTGCTCAAGTGCTCCAGTGAGATGGTGAAGGCTGGTGAGAGTTCTGGTGTTGGGTCGGTCACGAGCTGGATTCGGCTGTGGGAGAGTATGGCGGCAAATCAATGCCAATATTAATCGAGCGCAGAGGAGTTGTTTGCGCGCGAGGAGAAGTGAACCGTGAGCAGATTACAGGTCTACACGCGAGAAAACTACAGCTCGCGAGCGCACAGGGGATCTTCACGCGCGCGCTCAACTGATCCAGCGCGAGAAAACAAGTCCCGCGCGCGCACATCATCATCTGTGTGAACGATGTACGCTCTCGCGAGCGAGGTCATGCCTACAGCGCGCGCGTGATCAGTTCTCTCCGCTCGCTCGCTGGTTCTTCTCTCTGCTCTCGCGAAACATTTCGGATTTTTGTCAGTCCTGGGGCGGGACTTGGTGTACTTGTTATCTCTAACGCTATTGGCTACTCTTCCTTTCCGGAAGTTAGCCGGGATTGGACGCAGGTTAGAAGATCACGCCATTAAATATATATACAATTTGCAAGTCATAATCATAAGAAACTTTCTGTGAACTTAATGAACTTTATGAGGATTCAATCTCGAGAAACAGTCAAATAATGATAATTAATTTTCTAAAATAATGACTTGCATTCTTGTAACATGACTTTCTGAACCCATTTGATTTGTCCCGTGCAGCACTTGTCTGGTTTGTTGTACTTTACTTCATTATTAACCCATTATTAACCACAACAGCAGTGCTCATTATTACACTGGGGGATGATCTTTCTAGGAAATATTGTCTTCAGAAGAGTTTATTTGCTTTTTAGATCTTTCCATACAATGCATACTATATGTGCAGTGCAGCTTTGTATATTATTATAATTATTAATTTTTTTTTGTAATATAGATCAGTGAAAAAAAAAAAAAAAAAAAAAATATATATATATATATATATATATATATATATATATATATATATATATATATATATATATATAATTTTTTTTTCAATCTCATTTTTAGTTAATGATTGAATAACCTGCATATAAAGACTTCAATCAAAAATGATTAGCCCAATCAAACATAAAGAATACAGTGACAGACATTCAGATGGGTGTTTATCGCCACCTATTGAGCAACAATTTAATTTCTACAGTCTTCGTTTGGCTTTACTCACTATCCATTACATTATTCCAATTCAGAGGCATACAAATACCACTTTTTATACAACATGCCCACATCTTAAAGGTCACATATGCAGTTGAAGTCAGAATTATTATCCCACTTATTTCTTGTTTTATTTCGGCCAGAATAAAAGCAACTTTTAATTTTTTAAAACCCATTTTAAGGTCCATATTATTAGCCTCTTTAACCTATTTATTTTTTTCGAAAGTTTACAGAACAAATCATCGTTATACAATACCTTGCCTAATTACCCTAACCTGCCTAATTAATCTAGTGAAGCCTTTAAATGTCACTGTAAGCTGTATAGAAGTGTCTTGAAGAATATCTAGTCAAATATTATTTACTGTCATCATGGCAAAGATAAAATAAATTAGTTATTAGAAATGAGTTATTAAAACTATTATGTTTAGAAATGTGTTGAAATTCTTTTTATCTCCATTATATAAAAATTAGGATAAAAATAAACAGGGGGCTAATAATTCAGGCGGGCTAATAATTCTGACTTTAACTGTATAGTGGAATAACAGACTAATGGCAATATATTTACTATAAACCTTTGTACTTTATGCACTGCATGCATGTATAGCCTATTTTGTAAACTATTGTCCATCCAATTTATTCTGACTTGTTCTTCAGAGAAAATGAGTCAAGGACAATGAGTCTAAGAAAAAAAAAAAAAAGATTTTTATAAATTTGAAAATGTGAGTTCATGTTCATAAATTTGGCTTGAGTTCAGTTTAAATGTAGGTGCTAAACTTCATCAAATGATTAAAAAACACACATTTAAAGTCTGAATTATTCGTCCTGATTTATTAGCCCATGTATATTTTTCCCCAATTTCTGTTTAATGGAGAGATCTTTTGCCACATAGTATAACTCTCTCTTTCTCTTCCAAGTAATAAAGTTTGTTACAGAAATATATCTCATTATTTTGATATGTCATTATATGACTTGGTCATGATGGTAAGAATAGGCATTATTATGAGATTAATTATTAAATATTTCATTATTGAAAGTAAGTCGTCACCTATTATTACTGAGAAAGTAAGTCTATTAGTTTCACATTGTGACATTATGATAAGATATCCTATATATTTTTATTTAATGGGGAAACTAGCTTACCTGCGTCCAATCCCGGCTAACTTCCGGAAAGGAAGAGTAGCCAATAGCGTTAGAGATAACAAGTGCACCAAGTCCCGCCCCAGGACTGACAAAAATTCGAAATGTTTCGCGCGAGTAGAGAGAAGAACCAGCGAGCGAGCGGAGAGAACTGATCGCGCATGTAATGATCTGAGTGGGGATCGAATCCGGGTCTACGGTGTGGTTAGCAGTAGTTCTTACTAGATGAGCTAAGTCAGCAACTGGTGGCCCAAGAGCAGAGGAGGAACAAAGTTGATGAATTAAAAAAAAATATATAGTCTTTACTGAGGTAAATTTGACAAAAGGGAGAGATAATATCTCTCTACAGCCAGGGTTGAAAAAGTACAACAAAAATAGGAAAGCCGAGCTTCCTAAAAATACAAACAAAATAAAATAGACACGAGGGTCTCATAACAATCAAACAGCCAAAATAGCAAACAAGTCTTGAGAACAAGCAAAAAGTCTTGAGAACAACTTAACTGAAAACTGGACGAGGCAGCAAGAGGATTAGTTCAGGACTGAACATAGAGCAGAATACAAAGCAGTCTTATATAGGGCAAAGAACAGGTGGTGGTGGTTACGCTGATTACAGGAGAGTTTAGAGGAACAAGAGTCACTACTGCCATCTAATGTTGAGGAGTATAGGGCAACATGTGCGCCCCCTGGTGGGTTGGAGGATGCGATAAAGTGCTGAGATATTACAGTAGCCCCTCCTCTAAGAACGTCTCCTGACCTTCCCTTTGTGCTCTCTTTGTGCCTGGTGGAATTCCTTGATGAGGGAAGGGTCCAAAATGTCTTTAGCTGAGGCCCAGGTG